TGCGATAGACAGATGTGTCAGAATATTGCTTCACTGGGAGCTGGAGGACACTCCAGATTCCATTTGGGGAGGCTAGGTCCGGGACGGTCCTCCTCCCATCTATTTTTTGTTGGAGACGGCTGCCGCCAGGCAGCCTCTCAATCAGAATTGTGTGGTACCACCTGCAAGGGCATCCTTGTCTAATTGCCTGTCTTGTTCTCTTTGTCTCTATTGTTGTTGCCTTTTTTTTTACTTTCTTGACGACGACTTTATTAGGGGACAGACTCTGACTACACCCTTATCCCTCACTCTTGATCATTTCTCGGAGGTGAAATATAGGGAACATAACCTTTCAGTTGAAGTTAAAAAGGGAAAATGGCAAACTTCTTGCTCCTCGGAGTGGCCTACTTTTCAGGTTGGATGGCTACCTGAGGGCACCTTATTTGTTTAACTCTGTCCTATTCTCACACCACCCCACTTGGGATGATGGCCAGCAACTCTTGCCGGCCCTCCTGACTACCGAAGAATGGGGACGGGCCTCCTTGAGAAGAAAAAGAATGTGCCGGGAACGGACAGGAGGCCTTCTGTCCTCCCTAATGAGATTGATGATGGCTTTCCCCTCATCCGCCCCAACTGGGATTACAACACACCATGAGGTAGGGAACACCTGAAGGTCTACCGCCAGACTCTACTGGTGGGTGTCCGTGGGGCCGCTCAAAAGCCCACCAATTTGACGAAGGTAAGAGAGATGGTTCAGGGGTCTGATGAGTCTCCCAAAGCCTTTCTTGAAAGGCTGATGGAGGCATACCACCGGCTTACACCCTGTGATCCTACCTCAGAGGAGAAAAAGGCAATGGTGACTATAACCTTTATAGACCAGTCAGCCAGAGATATTCGTAGAAAACTCCAGAAAATAGAGGGTTTACAGGACAAGTCATTGAAGGATTTAGTGCAGGTAGTAGAAAAGGTTTTCTACAGCCGGGAGATGGAAGAAGAGAAACAGGAAAAGAAAGCAGAAAGAGCAGGAAGCGAGAGAAAGAGAAAGGGATACAAGGCAAGACAACGTTGACTAAGATCCTGGCCACCATAGTGCAGGAGAGTCGTAATGATAGGGAGAGAGTTCCTGGCAATCAGAGGGGCTCTCTGTCTAAGGATCAGTGTGCCTATTGCAAGGAGAAATTACACTGGATCAAGGATTATCCCAAAAGGAAGAAAAAGCCAGAAAAAACAAATGCTCGAGCCCTGGAGATCTGGGTCCTAACCCTGGGCGATGATAGTGACTAGGGGGGATGGAATTCGGCCCCCCTCCCCAAGCCCAGGGTAACCCTTAAGGTGGAGGGGAAGCTGATCCACTTCTTAGTGGACATTGGTGCCCAGCATTCTGTTCTGTTACAAGACTTTGGAGGAAAAAAAAAATCGTGGGTCCAAGGAGCCACTGGATGTAAACAATATTCATGGACTACCCGAAGAATGGTGGACCTTGGAGTGGGCCAGGTATCCCACTCATTCTTAATTGTCCCTGAGTGCCCCTACCCGTTGTTAGGGCAAGATATCCTAGATAGGGGCCAATATTCCATTTTAGACCAGATGGCCCACAGGTGACAGACAATAAAGGGGATCCTAATCATGTGCTGATGATTCAACTGGAAGATGAATACCGCCTGTTTGAAAAGGTGGTAAGTCCAGAAAAAGACATTGACTGGTGGCTAGAGAGACATCCCAGGGCATGGGCTGAAACGGCTGGCCTAGGAAAAGCAAAGAAACAGCCCCCAGTTCAGATAGAGCTGAAGCCTCAGGCTACCCAGATCTCAGTGGGACAATATCTGATGTCTAAGGAAGCCCGTGACGGGATCCACCCTCACATACAGCAGCTCCTTGACCTAAGGGTTCACAGAAGATGCCAATGCACCTGGAATACTCCATTGCTGCCGGTTTGAAAGCCTGGGAGCAATGACTAATGAGCTGTACAGGACTTGAGGGAAGTTAACAAACAGGTCACGGACTTACATCCTACCGTGCCCAAGCCGTATAACCTGTTGAGTTCCCTTCCCCCTAACAGAGTTTGATGTACAGTCCTGGACCTTAAGGATGCATTCTTTTGTCTTCAACTTACCCTACCAGCCAAGACATTTTCGCTTTCGAATGGAAAGACCCGGACACAGGGGTCTCAGGCCAGCTTACATGGACTCGACTTCCTCAAGGGTTTAAAAATTCCCCTACAATATTTGATGAAGTCCTACACCGGGACCTGGAGCACTCCCGGGCCACCAATCCCCAGGTAACTCTTCTCCAATATGTGGATGACATTCTACTAGCTGCAGATTGTAAAGAAACCTGCCTTGAAGCCATCGACCAGCTGTTGCAAGAGCTGGGTGAGCTCGGCTACAGAGCATCGGCGAAAAAGGTCCAGCTTTGCAGGAAACAGGTCAGTTATCTGGGATATATATTAAGAGAGTGAAAGAGATGGCTATAGGAGGCTAGAAAAGAGACTGTATTTCATATTCCCCCTCTGCAGACTACTAAACAAATGAGGGAATTTTTAGGTGCAGCAGGGTTTTGCCGGCTGTGGATTCCGGGATTTGCCGAGATGGCAGCCCCTCTGTTTGCCCTTACAAAGGGCAATGACTCTTTCATCTGGGGAAAGGATGAACAAGCCGCATTTGATAATATCAAACAAGCCTTAATGTTGGCCCCAGCATTGGGACTCCCTGATGTGAACAAACCCTTCCAACTTTATGTGGCAGAGAATCAGGGAATGGCCAAATGGGTGCTAACACAGAAAATTGGACCCTGGAAGAGACCTATCTATCCAAAAAGCTTGATTGCATAAGTGGACTCACTTGGGGGCAAAGAAATTGGCTGAAATTGCCACCAATCCCAGTACCGAATACTAAACCTCACCACCCTGACTGAGAGAGTGACTCTGGGACTTCCAGAGCCCAGAGAAGCGGCTGAGAGGAACTAGACCCGGAATGCACAAGGAAGTGGATTTCACTGAAATTAAACCAGCCAAGCCAGGTATGGCAATAAATATCTCCTGGTCTTTGTGGACACCTTCTCAGGAGAGGTGCAAGCTTTTCCCAAAAAGAAATAAACCACTCTGGTAATAGCCAAAAAGATTCTGGAAGGCATTTTTCCTTGGTTCGGTATTCCAAAGGTAAATGGGTCAGACAATGGGCCGGCCTTCGTTGCTCAGGTAAGTCAGGAGGTGGCCAGGGTTCTGGGGCTCTATTGGAAATTACACTGTGCTTATAGACCCCAAAGTTCAGGACAGGTAGAAAGAATGAATAGAACTCTAAAAGAGACTCTCACCAAATTGACCATGGAGACTGGCGGTGACTGGGTGGTGCTCTTCCCTTGGCCCTTTTAAGAGTCAGAAATACTCCCTCCCTACTAGTCCTGACTCCCTTCGAACTAATATATGGGTTCCTGCTCCCCTGACTCTTCTTGGGGACCCCTTGACATAACTAGTGGTAACTGACTTCTTGTCCAGGCTGAAAGGACTGCAGCTTATTCAGAAAGAGATTTGGAGCAAGGTTGGCAGTGCATATGCTCCTGGGTCCTTGGAGGTGCCCCACCAGTTCCAGGTTGGAGATCTGGTATATGTGCGATGACAGGGCACCAGAATCTGGAACCTCAGTGGAAGGGTCCTTATTATGTCCTGCTCACCACCCCAACTGCCGTCAAAGTAGAGGGCATTGCAGCTTGGATACACGCGTCACAGGTCACATGTTAAGCCTGCTCTTCATCAACCTGCAGTCACCTTGAAAGTCCAAGCCTCCTGCAACCCGCTAAAACTGAAACTCATCAGGGATAATAAACTCTCTGACCAGTACTCGCCTTCGTCAGGGAATGGGAACATGTAAGGAGAGATGAGGTCCTGATGCTCCAGAGACAGTATCAACCTTTCCCTGAGGTTGATCCACAATTTTAGGGTTAAAATTGAGGCAAAAAGAAAAGGAGGGGGGAATGAGGGACCACCCGGGAATGAGAAAACCAACTGTGATTATTTGAATTGAAGCCAGGTGCAGATAGCTCTTGAAGGGCAGGGTGAACTGTTCTGAGAAAAACCATCTACAACCAGCTGTAAACTATCTACAACCAGCTGTAAACTATCTTCATGCTGGTCTGATTTTCAGGTATAAAAACCCTGTGCTTTGCATGTTTGGGGTCATCTTCTGTCTTTGGAGGGGCGACCCTATCACAATAGCAATAAACCTCATGCTTTTGCATCAAGTTGTGGTCGGTGAGTGTTCCTGGGAAGGGCATGATCCTGAGCTCCTGAGCAATGAGACTCCAGGTCTTACACCGCTAAGGGGCTAGGAGCTCTGTCTCAGCCTCTACAAATCCTCGGCAGTGAGCTCTGAGCTGAGAATCTCAGTGAGAAAGCTGTGCCTAGGAGGATGGTTGTCCTACAAAGGGGAGTGCCAGGAGATCAAAGGATCGTTTCTCTCCTTCCCCAAACAAGTTCACGGGTGAGCGGAGAACAGAGTTCTTACCTCTAGCGATGATCCCTGTCATTTAGAAAGCCTCACCGTTGTTTCCCTGGATTCAGAAGTTCTTCGACTCACCAACTCAGGCGTTCAGATCTTCCACAGCTCAGAAACTGTGCTTGCTAGTGGCCATCTTGACTCCACCCCTGCTCTCTCTGGAATTCTTCATGGAAGTCTGGGTCAGATTTTGGTGAAGGGGTCTGTGTTAGATCATTCTACTCGGCTGGGGGCACATTCCTCAGTCCAATCTGTTGGCCAAGCCTCCAAAGCGCGCTCCTTCCCACCTGAAGCCATTCTCCTGCTTAGAGCCTCTCTCCTCTCTCTTACCTGGTCAGGTCCTAACCAAGCCAAAATCTCAGAAATGGAGTGGGCGACCCAGACCTTGCTGACAGTGGACACAGCCGACTCTGGAAACCTAACTGAAATCACCGTCTTCGGACGACCCAGCGCACAAGCTCGAGTAAGAAGAATGCTCTTGAGCAAGGCGGAAACGCACAAAGAAAAGTTCGCCAGGAGAGGTGAGGGACTTTGAGGACCTCCCTTGGGAGGAAGCCACGGGAAATTCCCGGCTTCTGGTTTTATTTTTGTTGTTGTTGTCAGCGGTGTTTTCTTTCACTTTCCAAACACCAGGAAACTACTGTCTTTGGGAATCCCTTTCCAAGGCCCTTGAGAAGCAAAGTCGGCTCAGACACACCCACCCAGACCAGCCCCCCAAGATCAGCCTTAGGCGCCATTCTTTGCTCATCCCAGGTCCAGGGGGACCCCTTCCCTTTAAAACCACGATCCCCTCTTGACTGTTGGTTTGATCCTCTTCGAGCGACGAAAATGAAACAAATCGAAGACTTGTTTGAACTATATCACTGCAAATTTTATTCGGAAACCCATCTCTGTTTATTTTCTTATTTAAAAAATGCCATCATGAACTGGCTTGTCCACCGAGTACACTACAACACTGTCGAGCAGACACACGGTCGAAACAGCTCGGATCTTTCCCTGTCCCGCTCACGCCCACGGGCTCGGGCTCGGGCTCGGGACCTGGCCCTCGGCTGCCGGCGCCGGTCCAGCTCCCTCCGCAGCTCGCTGGACACGGGCTTCAGATGCATGAAGTTGCAAAAGCCCCCTCGGGCGCACTGTCCCGTCTCGTACTGGCGGCAGCAGGCCTCCCTGAAGTCGGTCACCGGGGACAGCTCTGCCCGGACCGGCTGCCCATTGAACCAGCGGTTATTCAGGTCGGCCACGGCCTTCTCGGAATCCTCCTCCCGTCGGAACTTGACGTATACGTTCCCCGCCAGGTGGTCCCCGAGGTTGTCGCAGACGTGCATCTCCTCCACCTCGCCGTACTTCTCCATCTCGGCGAAGACCTCCTCAAAGAACTCGTCGTAGTGCTCCTGCGTCTCCACGTCCCTCCCGGCACCGCGCAGAGCGGCGGCGCCCCGGGAGGAGTCCCGAGGGTTTGGGAAGATGTTCAAGAGGGCGACGGTCTGGCTAAAGGTCGGTCTATTGTGCAACCGGGGGCATCTGTCTCCGTGACGACAGGCTCCAGTTTTGAAGTAAAAGGAACAGTTGACTTTGTCCTTCTCGGTGCCGAAGATGGAGGCCAGACACTCAGCCATCTTGCACAGCTCGAGTCCGCCGGGGCGGCCGCCGCCGCCGCCGCCGCCTAAATGCAGGTCGGCAGGAGACTCTTCCCGCCCATCGCAGGCCGCCGTCCAATCGGGAGAGGCGCTGCCCACGCGGGGGCGGGACGGGGAAGGGGCGGAGGCTCCACCTCCCGGCTCTGGCGCCTGCGCACTCCTTGCTGGGCGGATCCCGGGCGGAACTCGGGCGCAGCCTGGATCTCGGACTGAGGCAGATCCTTTCTGCACGTGCTCAGCACCGCGGTTTCCCGCTTCTGTCGCCGGGACCGCGCCGTCTCTACTTTCAGGCAAAAGCCCGCGTCCGGCCTCCCGGAGGAATTCAATCCCACAGCATCCCCACAGTCACCAGCTCACCTTCAAGTCATCACATTTCCTCGCAGAGCTTTATCTTAGGAGGAGACCCAGGCGGTGGCAGTCATCTTGGTTTGATGACTTTGCTGCTCCCTCGGGCTGTAGAGCCTCCTCCACCCGAGGACAGATCTGGTGACATCAATTCGTGCTGGTGATCCTACGAGGCTCTCAAGCCCTTGAGCACACAGGCATCTTTTCACTTTTGTTTGTTATTGTTCTTTTGTTTTTTCAACACAGGGTCTCTGTGTGTATTCCTGGCTATTGTGGAACTTAGAATGTAAACCAGGCTGGCCACAAACTCCTAGATGTGCCTTCCTCTGCACCTTAAGTGCCACCTAGCTTTAAATTATAATTTTCGATGATGATGCTGATTATTTTTGGAGACAAATTCTCTTCATTATGTAGCTGTGGTTGGAACCCGAGATCTGTTCTTTACATGTGTGTCCCGAGTCGAAGAATTCCTGAAAGTTCATTCCCCAATCAACCCGTGTAACAGAGCAATAGACACTTGCTGACTGACAGCCAGCCCTGTGTCATCCTCTGGAGGTGAAGACAAATATGGATTCTTAAAGTCTCTATAACCTTTCTTTTTTGCCTTCATGAGTGCATTTTGTTTGCTTGTTTTCTTTTGCAAATAGCAATTATGTAGGACTGTTCTATTATAGGAACGACTGGGGTTTTTCTTTTCTTTTCTTTTTTTTTTTTTTTTTTTTTTTTTTTTGTACGATACAATTTTTGTACGATACAAATTAAAGTAAATTTTTAAAATATTTGACCGTTCAGTTAATGGGATCAGTGTGTGTGTCTGGGATTGTGTTTCTACAGTTTCTAACACACTATAAAGTCAGGCCTTCAAGAACATCAGTTGGCTTTAAAGGTAGCTCTTTTAAGTGTTTGAGATGGGGGTAACGTATTTCCCAGGCTGGGCCCTGACCCCTGTGCTGAAGCAGTTGTTTTGCCTTAGTTGCCCAGGAGTGTGGGGAAAAGGCGTCTTTATAGTTTCAACTCTTCACTCTGTACCTTGTTATTGAGACAGGGGATCCCTATGTAGCTCTGACTGTCCTGGAACTTGCTATTTAGACAAGGCTGGCCTTGAACTCAGATCTGCCTGCTTCTGTTTCCCAAGTTCTTTGAAAGGTGTGCACTACCATGCCAGACCATCTCACCCCCTTTGTCGTTTTTAACAGTTGATTTAAGGCGCTGGTTCTAAGCCCTGGGTTCTTAACCCCCCCCCCCCTTTAACACAGTCTTACTATGTGGCCTATCAGGTAGTTAGGCTGGCCAATAAGCACCAACGATCCTCCTGTGTCTGCTTTCCCAACACTAGGGATGGCAGGTGTGACGTGGGTGCCCTGCTTTGTGTTAAGTGATAGCCTGGAAAACAAACTCAGTTCCTCCTGTTTTAGTACCAAGTTCTGTGCCTACCAGCTGTCTCCCCACCCTCATTTGGTTAGTCCTCCCCCACGTGGGTGGGGGGGAATTGAAACATGTATCTCGGAGCTGATACACGGCAAAGAAGGACCTTAAATTCCAGACCTTCCAACCTCTGCCTCCCCAGTACTGGGATGAGAAGTGTGTGCCTGCTTTACTCTGAAGATAAGAGAGTGCTCTGTTGTTCTCTTCACAGTTAAGGGCCAATGTAAATTATCTATCAACTTGGTGCCAAGCACCTGAACTGGTTTGGGACATGCAGTTGGCTCAGCTCACAGAGCTGGGACAGCAGCATCAGGGTACTAGGACAGAAGCAGTGACTCCAGGATGCAGCTTAGCAGTGTCTGTGCTTCCCACCTGCTCTTTCTGCTTTACCATTGCTGTGTGTGGGGTGAGAGGGTCCCACGTGTCCCAGCACCTGTGTGGAAGTCTGCAGACCACTCTGGAGGGTTTTTTCCTTCCTCCTCCCACTAAAATACATGTGCTCTTGAGTTCAGATTAAGCTCATCAGGTTTGGGTGACAAACACTTCAGCTGTTGAGCCATGTTGACAGACCCTCTTGTTTCTGAGCATGTGCAAAGGTTTTATTTGACCAAAATAACTCCTGGAGGAACTAGAAAGACAGTAAGATCAGTCTGAAGGCGGATGCAAAGAGCAAACAACACAGGCCATCACACATGCTGAAATGGATCTGCCCAACTGACCACACACTCACACACATATTCTCTCCTACATTTTTTTATGTAACTTACAGAGCTGCAAAACTCTTTTAAATTCAGCTGTCTCAGCCACTATGCTGGTAGCACCCAGGCTTTGAACCCAAGACATTTGAAAGCACCTGAGTAAAATAGCCATTGCTTGGAAAAGTTCTTCAAGAAGTGACTTAGTGGCTGCTCCATCCAAATGTTAGTTGCACTGGGTTCTAGCACAATAAGGAAAATACTTGAGCTGCAGGGTCTGTGTTGGGGGTTGATGGTGTCAGCCTGATTCCCACCTGACTTGTGGAAGACAGCCACAGAGTTCAAGAGCATTTGGCTGCTGGGTGGGGAGCTGGGGAACTGGGGGCGGGGAAATGATGTTTTCTTTCTTCCTTGCAAGTAACAGACCTGGGCATTTGTCATTCTTTATTAAACATTTTCAGCTCATGTTTCCAGACATTTAACACAAGGGAAACATAAACCACCTGACTCCACTCTTCACATCTAGGGCAGAAACAACTCCAGGAATGCCTGCTGGAGACCTTCACAGGTCCAAAGAGGCTGGGTTTTCCTCTCATGGACTCCATGGAGAACCTGCCGAGTGGCCGAATCTGGGAAATAGCAGAGGTGTGTTTGGTGGTAACCTTCGAGGACCTCATGAATGTCTCAGGGTTTCTATAGCCGTGATTAAAAGTCCAGGCGTAAACCAACTTGAAGAGAGGACATCCTGGGAAGCCAGGGCAGGAATTCCAGACAGCTGGTGCTGAGACCACGGAGGAGTACTGCTTACTGGCTTGCTCTTCACGGCTTGTTCAGCATGTTTTGCTATACACCCCATAATTACTTGCTCAGGGGTGACACCAGCCCACAGTGGGCTGGGCTCTCCCTTATCGATCACTAATTAAGAAAATGTATGACACACTTGCCTACAGGAAAATCTTATGGAGGCATTTTGTCCTTTGAGAGTTTCTCTTCCCGGATGATTCTAGCCTGTGTCAGGTTGACATAAAATTATCCAGGATGATGGGAGATCTCAGTCTCAGCTTACTGAGCCAGGGGAGTGGTTTGAGGGGATTGGGAAGATCTCAGAGAATTCAAGAGCATGTGTTTGCCTGGCAAAGTGTACAGGATCAGCTCCCAGCACATGATGACTCAAAATCATCTCATTCTGGACTATTGCCACCTTCTGGCCTCTGTGTGCATAGGCATACACGCAGGCCAAAAACTCACGGCCATGAAAATAAAAACAAAAACAGAAGCAGTGTTAATTGGTTTCACCTGTGTCAGCATATCTTGGCCAGAAAAAAATAGTTTCCTTGTTCCGGAGTAAGAGTCAAAAATTCCCAAATACAGCCATTTGGCTTTCCATTCCTCCTTCCAAGCAAGTCTTTCCTGGGAGGGTATTTTCAAAGAAACTAGGATTGGCTGGTGCTATGCTTCAGGTGGTTTGAGAAAGGGGTCAACTAAACTTCATGTGTCCAGAGCTGAGAAGGCAGCCTTGGCCTCAAGAGTTCGGGCTTTATTGTTCATGTTTTTACCTGAAGCAATATATGTGTCTCATCAGCCATAAGCTCTTTGTTTATTTGTTTGTTTGTTTGTTTGTTTGTTTGTATCTGAACAGAAGGGAGGACAAAAGAGTGAATGGCTCTACCTTTTGGCCCAGAAATTGGGGAGCTGAGGTGGGAAGAGGGAGGGTGGCATGAAAATGGGGGCCTAGCCACTGGAGAGGCTTTCTCTGTGACAAAAGCCAAATGGTCAATGGTCCGAGTATATGTAGCTGTGGGGAGCCTCTCCCTTCTCTTTCTAGCCTAGTCAGCAAGCATCAAGTTAGGCCTCCAGATGACCTACTTGCAGAGACTCTCTGAGTGCTTAGAACCTCTCCCAAGGCTCGAAAGAGTCTCTAGAACCTGAAATAAGGCCCGTTCTTGTACCAGAAGCTAGCTTTTTGAAACCTTTTGAGAACAGCCCTTTGGTGAGGCAGAAACAGAGAGGCCCAATGTAATGAGCTTCTGAGACAGCAAAGCTGTCAGGAGCAAAGTTAAGAGACATTTTTGGTGACAGTGACTGTGCATCGCCCTTAAGTTATCGAGAGCTTGTAAGACAGCAGAGCTGTCAAGGATAGATAAGAAGATATTCATAGTAATAGTAACTAAGAACGCTCTTAAGGCAGCTGACGTGTGTGTGTGTGTGTGTGTGTGTGTGTGTGTGTGTGTGTGAAAGAATGATAAGTTAAAGCTATGCCGTAAAAACTGGAGCCTGAGCCCACTCAGGTGTGGCAGGCCAGACTCTTTGGTGCGTATGCCGAGAGACCACCACTAACCAGCCAATTCCCGAACGGATGTTTGAAAAGCCCAGACCACCTTAACAAACCAGTTCTGAAAGGACCACCATATCAGACCAGCCATGGAAGATGGCTCCCGAGAAACCGCAGCTTCCTTTGCATCTGAGGCCTGGCTGGAGCAGAGACGCTCCGAGGCCTGTCAAGTCATCAGAAGATGCATCTGAGGTCTGGCTCGAACTGTGAAGTTCTGGGACCTAGAAGACAGCCAAAGCCGGAGGCAAAAGTGTCCGAGCCCGTACCTGTGGCCAGGTAGTATTCCCCGTAGGATGTATAATGAGCTAGGCAACTGTTAGATAGTTGTGTGATTTGTGTGATTAAAGCAGCATTCAAAAATCATTCTGGCGTTGGCTTTTATCAATACCTTGCCGAACTTTGTGGCATCTTGGTTAAAGTCCTCTGGCATAATTAAGTGCTCCTGACACCCAGACTGGTGATCTGGGTTTGTAATCCTAATCCCAGCACTCAGAAGAGGTGGAGATAGGAGGGTCAGGAGACCTATACCATTTTTAGCTACAGAGAGAGTTAGAGGCCAGCACATCTACATGACTCCTGTCAAAACTACAAAACCTACACACACACACACACACACACACACACACACACACACACACACAGTTTGGGCAGTATGTCCTTTTTAAAATCACTGACAAGGGGCCAGAGAGATGGCTCAGAGGTTAAGTCTACTGGCTGTTCTTCCAAAGGTCCTGATTTCAATTCCCAGCAACCACATGGTGGCTCATCTACAATGAGATCTGGTGCCCTCTTCTGGTATACAGGCGCACAAGCAGGTAGAATACAGTATAAAAATAATAAATACAGGAGCTGGAGAGATAGCTCAGAAGTTAAGAGCACTGACTGCTCTTCCAGAGGACCTGAGTTCAATTTTCAGCAACCACATGGTGGCTCACGACCATCTATAATGAGATCTGGTGCCCTCTTCTGGAGTGCAGGTGTACATGTGGAGAAAACATTGTATACATAATAAAGAAATATTAAAAATAAATAAATAAACAAATAAATAAATAATTGTAAAAATTTTTTTGAAGGCATAAAAGTCCAGTTTCCAGCCTGGGAGTGGTAGCACATGCCTTTATTCCCAGCGCTTAGGAGGCAGGCAGGAGGCTTTCTCTGAGTTTGAAGCCAGCCTGGTCTACATCCAGGTCTATATGAGTTCCAAGACAGATCGGGCCGCACAGAGGAACTCAATTTCCCAGTGCTTTTAAGGTATTATGTTGCCCCTCTGACCAAAGGAATTGGAGATGAAGGTTTAGAGATTATGAGGAAACTTCTCAATGGGGAGATGGGTTAGACCTCCCCTTAAAATTTCTTGTTATTAACAATCTGATGCTATATAGTACTTATATTTTCTTTCATTAAAAATTTTCAAAGAATCCAGGCCCAGTGGCACATGCCAGTAATCCCAACACTTGGAGAGACAGAGGCAGGAGGATCTCTGTGAGTTTCATGCCAGCCTGCTCTACAAAGGGAGTTCAGGACAGCCAGGGTTACACAGAGAAACCCTGTCTTGAATAACAAACCAACTAACCAACAAACAAAAATTTCAGGAGCAGGGCAAGGTGGCACATGCCTTTAATCCCAGCACTCTGCTGGCAGAGATAGGCAGATCTCTGTGAGTTCAAGGCCAGCCTGGTCCAGTGAGTCCAGGACAGCCAAGGCTACATAGATAAACTCTGTCTTGAAAAACCAAAAAGAAAAAAAGTTTAAATATATTCAAGTGATTGGGGATAGTGGACCACGCCTTTAATCCTAGCACTCAGGAGGCAGAGGCAGGCATATCTCTGAGTTCAAGGCCAGCTTGGTGAGCCAGGACTGTACAGAGAAATCTTATCTTGAAAAACAACAACAAAACTTTTGAGGGTGTTTTTGATGGTTCAGTGGGTATAGGCATTTGTCCCCAGTCTAATGCCTGAGTTCCGGTCCCAGATCCCACACTGTGGATGGAGAGAACCACTTTCATGTTGTCCCCTGACTTCTTCCACACTGGGTATGTGCACATACTTATGTTAGGTTTCAAACCTGGAACAAGGACTGAGGTGCCTATTATCAAATCGGATCTGGTGTCCAGGTCCTCCTAGCATTCTTCAGCCCTTCCTGTCTGGCACACCCCACCCCTGCCCTAAACTTCTCTAGCCTAGGGCTATCCTTCCTCCAGCCATCCTTCTACCTATTCTCCAACCATTTTGGTTTTCTGGCCTTTTTTGTTTATGCTCTAGGCCCCTCTTGGTTGGTGGGTGCCTCCCCCCCCCACATGGCTTAGCAACAAGTCCACTCTGGACTCTCCCAGATGTCCCTCCCTCTGGCCATGCCCTCCCACACATCTGCAATAAACATTCTCCTTCATCATACCTAGGAGCCATCATGTTCTTTTCTTTTCTCTTCTCTTGTCTTGTCTTTTCTTCTCTTCTCTTCTTTTCTTTTCTATTCTTTTCTTTTCTTGAAGACTGGGTTTCTCTGTGTAGCATTGGCTGTCCTAGACTCACTATCTAGACTAGGCTGGCCTCAAACTCACAGAGATCCACCTGCCTGTGCCTCCCTGAGTGCTGGGATTACAGGCATGTGCCTCCGTGCCCAGCTTTCATTTATTTTTCATTCATAATTTCTTACAGAAAAAATTATTAAAAAAAAAACCAAATTACAGAAGAGTTGAGAGCATAGACAATTGGTTTATTTTAAAGCTGGGGGGGGGCTGTAAGCAGGAGATCCAATTTTTGATCCTTAGTGCCTGTGTAATTCTGTAACTCTGTCTCCATGGAATGTGACCTCTGCCCTCCATAACTAACTAAACTCATATGCCCCTACACAGTGTTCTTAACCACTGGGCCGTCTGGAGCCCCCTCTTTGTTGTTGTTGAAACAGGACTCACAGTCTGTCAGTCTGGCTTTAGGCTCAGGGGCCTCCTACTTCAGCGTCCCAAGTGCCTATTCCAGCTACTCTGTAGAAATTTCTGAACAACTTCATAATACTGCTCATCTTTGTTTTCTTCCTTGCATTGAGCTAGTCTTTGAGTCAAGAACACTTATTTGCACAGCATTCTGCTGTCCCTTTAATCTACTAATTAAATGGGCCTCTGACTTCCTTTGTTTACGTGACAATTGACAAACCAGTTTTCTCCTTGCCCTGTTGTCTCAGTGGTAAAGCAATGTCCTAAGACTTCCAGACCTTTTAAATGTCTAGTCTTCACTAACCTTTTTCCAACAGTTTTAGCTATTGGTGACCATTTTCTAAAGCGTTAATGCTGGTGCTTATAATAAAGACCAAACCAAGCTGGGTCTCAGCTCTTGGGAGGCTGAGGCAGGTGGATCTCTGAATTCTCAAGGCCAGCCTGGTTTATAGAGCTAGCTCCAGGACAGCCATGGATGTACCGAGAAACAAAGAAACAAAGAAACAAACACAGCTAGGCATGGTGGCACACACCTGTAATCCTAGCACTGGGGGAGACAGAGGTAGGGGGATTTCTGTGAGTTCGAGTCCAGCCTGGTCTAAAAAGTAAGTCCAGGACAGCCAAGGCTATACAGAGAAATCTGTCTCGAAAAAATAAAAATAAAAACAAAAACCCCCAAACAAACAATAAAACAAAACAAAACAAAATCCCAAAGCAAAAGTTACTCAGGCTGGTCTTCACCATAAACCATAAAACACTGAAATCAGCTCCTCACCGTGAACCCACTACACGGCTTCAATTTTGTTTGAAATAGTGTTTTTAATAATGAATAAGGCAAGTTTATTCAGATGCTCCCTTGAAGCCTAGACTAATTTGGGGCAGAGTGGTTAGTCAAAGAAATCCAGCTCAGTTGATAACACGAAAACCAGGGCCTTCAAGAAGAGAGTGGACACACTTCAAAGGCACCCGCGGGTTTTAGTGAAAGGAATGAATTTCCAGCTTTTGTTTCCATCTTTACTAAATGACAAGAATTATTTTTGAGTTCTTGGGAATTGCTCGGGCACCCTACAAATTGCCGCCATGATCCAGTTCCTTCAGGATGAGGAAAACCACAGTCTTTTAGAAGTCTTCCAGCGTGGCCCTCTGCTTTTCGGGTTCAGTTCCAGTCAGTTTTTTTTTTCATAGAGGAAGGCCATCAGTACCCGCTTCTATCCCCCAGCCCCCTGGATTCGGAAGAACAAGACAATACAGGCAACAAGCCTAGTTAGTTTGGGACAGCTGACCCGGGAAGGGACGGTGTTGTCTCCTAGGCGCACAGCCTGAGGGTTCAGGCAGTGGGTCTGAGCCGGGGTCCCCAAGGAGGCGGGCCCTATGGGAGTGGTCTAGCCAGGCACCGCCCCCTTCGGTGATAAGCTTTCTGAATGCTGGGGCTGTGGGCCACAGGTTTAAGTCTGACCTAGTCTTCTCTGGAAACTGGTTGCCTGCGAGGAACTGAGGATGGAAACCGCCCGGACCCGTAAAGATATCCCACCGTGGGTGAAAGTTCCTGAAGACCTGAAAGATCCAGAAGTGTTACAAGTGCAGTCGCTGGTGCTAAAGTATCTGTTCGGTGAGTGGCAAGTCTTGACCCGGCGGCCCAGGCCCAGGCTCCTTGGCCCTCAGCTCTTACTTCCTTTCCCCCAACAGGCCCACAGGGATCTCGAATCCCTCACATCGAGCAGGTGAGCCAGACCATGTTCGAGGTCAAGACTCTGGAATCTCCTGAATTCATCGAGATCTTAGTTTATGGCTCTCATAACAACAAGCTTCGGGCTAAATGGATTCTTCAGTCCATGGCTGAGAGGTGCCGCCTGCGTCTGGAGAGAGGTGAGACACTGCAGGTGCTCTGAATTAAGGCCTGGTAGAGCAGCCTCCTCCCTCCACTGCCCTTATCCCCCTTCTGACCTATCCACAGCCTGCATTCCCCTAAGGCTGTCTTACCTTGGGCATCACCAGGGGGCCCCCTCCCCATTGCTCTCTGAACTGCCTCTCAGAATCTTTGAGCGTTCAGGGCCCCAGAGGTGAGTCTACGGTGAGAGGGGATTGGACTGGTCCCTCTAGGCTGGGTTATTTATCCTGGGTAACTCAGTCCCTCTCTACTTCCAGCTCCAGGCTTCTAGGAGAACGTTAGAACTGTCCCAGGGGTGCCCAGGTTCTAGACCCAGAATGGAATGAGAGGTCCACAAAAGATGCTGAGAGAGGAGGTGAATCCTGAGGGCTCCTTTTGTTCCACAACACTTAATCCTCCTGTTGGTGTTTCTCATGCAGGAATGCTCAACCTGGAGGAAGCCATGAAGAACCTGGACCTAGGGTTCTTGGAGTGAAGCCAGTTTCCGGTCGCTGGGACTCGTCCTGGCTGGAGAGTAGGCTGTGGCCCCGTGGGATGGGCCTGGCTTGCTTTTTAACTTTGTTTTATATCCTTTGTATTCCAGCAAGGTATCTCTGGACCACCCTGCTTTGCGGTGGGCTCTGGTGTGAATATCTCCTTCCAAGGATGTTAAGTAAATAATAAAATTGAAGTAATTAAATAGCTTCTTGTATCTACTGGATTGAAGGTCTATGAGACGCACCATGAAGGTGGGATTCTTGAGCCTAAGCTTGAACTGAATTCAGTGACGCGTTGTGTCACTGAACCGAAGTTCTAGGGAAGCATGTACCATACAGTAGTGTCTGGAATGCCTCAGGAATATCATCAAGAACAATAGTTCTGAAAGCCACTAATGTAAAGTAATACTTCATTAAAATCCAGAAGAGCCAGGACCCTCTCCTGCACCTTTGTGCCTTTGTAAATGGCCTTATCAGGACACCGCCTGTGGGATCTTTTAGCTTCTGCCTTCAGCCTGGTGCGAAATACTACTTAGGTTGTAGTATGAGGATGTGAATTTCTGATTTGGGCACCAAAGGGTAGCTGGAACTTCTTATGGGTGAGGAGCCACCAAAGCAGGTATTTGCCCTAGTGGAGACCAGTTTGGTAGTTGGCTTGGAAGAGCTCCCACTTTGGGGATCTTTCTGACTTTAAGACCTTAAAACAAAAGTATTCATGTATACATCTGCATTTGTGTGTAGGGCGGTCAGAAACAAGTACCATGTGTAACATACATAGTATTGACAGTAGTGGGGAAAAAAGCATAAGCTGTTGAGGTAAATCATGTTTTCAAACTCGGTAACAGATGTCCCTCTTGTGATCACTAAGGAAAACATTGTTTTGCTGCCTACCTGAGGATGACCTTCAACTCATAGCCCTCTTACCCCCACGCCCAAAGTGATGGGATTATAGCTGTGTGCAGTCACACCCAGGGCCAAGAAGTCTTTGTTGGATTTAAATTCAAACTCCTCCCCACCTTTTTTACACCTTAAGTGATCTCACGTGGGCTTAGTACGAATCGTCTACTTCTCCAACTTCCCTCCGGATACCAAGTCTGCTGCTTGAAGGTCTTTTGCTTTATTTTTTTGCTTTTGTTTTGTCTTTTGGTGGGGCCTCTCTCTGTACCCCTGGCTGGCCTGGAACTCCCTCTATCAGGCTGTTCCTGACTCGGGGCTCCTTCTGCCTTTGCCTCCTGGGTGCTGGGAACCGGGAGCACCAGCTGGCTTTGCTTGTCTGTTTTCCACATTTACATCTATTGAGAGCCCCTCCCTGCTTTCCTTCCTTGGCGTTCACAAACCTGACAGTGTCGGCAGTTCCTTTGTACCTTTTCTTTACCCGAGTATGAGCTTAAGGCAATTTTATAAGAAACAGGTAATAGAGTAAAGCATTAAAAAAATTAAAAACAGTATAAGACACACTGCCAGGCTGTCTTTAAATCTTGGATCTTCCACTTTCAACTTACTCTCATCGTGAGCATATAAATATTGTGCTTCAGTCTTCCATCTATGAGGATAAGGGTAGAAGAATAAACAAGTCACAGCTGTACTGAGCCTTAGTCAAATCATAAGATAACTGGGCATAGTGGTGCATGCCTCTAGTCCCAGCACTCAGGGAAGCAGAGGCAGACAGATCGAAGTGAGTTTCAGGCCAGCCCAGTCAACAAAGCGAGTCCTGGACAGCCAAGGTCACACAGAGAAACCCTATCTTGAGGGAAAAAAAAAAAGTTTCTCTGTTGTAGCTCTGGCTGTCCCCGAACTCACAGAGATCCACTTCTGCTGCCTAAGTGCTACAGCCGCTCAGCTTTGAATTATGTGTCTGTAATATCAAGAATTGGCAGGTGAGGGAAAACAACTGGCTTCCTCAAGCTGTGCTGTGACCTCCCCACAAACGGCACACACCTATCCCCACCCCTACACAGACATACACTGCACACACGCAAATACAGAAATGAAAACTTTTAGAACCCTGAAATGATAGAGAAGTCTCTACTACCGATTTCATGCTCATCCATTTTCTCTGCAGCAATGAGAGAGTTTTTATTTTCCTATATATATTTCCAGGGTTTTGAAAATTGGTATTTATGCCTTCGTCTCTCTATGTGTGTGGAGTGGGGGATGTGTGTACCATTTTCAAATGGGCAGAGACCAGAGGATGTCTTGCTGGAGTTGGATCTCTCCTTTCAGCTATAGGTTTTGGGGTTTTAGACTCAGGTCATCAGGCTTGACAGCAAGTGCCTTTACCAGTTGAGCCGTCTTGCTGACCCTGTTTGGTGTTTTGAGACAGGGTCTCACTGTGTATGTAGCCCTGGCTAGCCTTGAATGTGTGGCAAGCCTTCTGCCTCAGACACCTGCTTGCGGGGATTCTAGGCATGAGCCACCACCCAGTTAGAGTCTGTTAATTATAAATGTAGATGATCTTTTTCCCACGCTGTCGGATACTCATTTAGTTTGATTTCGAAGGGCTGTTCGCAACCTTGCAAACTTTCGTCTTTTCGGGTGTGTTGAATTCATCAATTGATGTTTGTTTTTTGCCAACATGTCTGTGAGCTAAATTCCTAGAGGTGAATTGCTGTTCTTTTGGGGGACAGAAAGGAAGCATGGGGATATGACTAGTAGAAGATGGGTCTGGCATGCTCCGGGCCCTGGCTTAAATCTCCAGTGTCATACACACGGCACCCACACAAAATGCTTCCCTCACATGCTTTTTTGCCAGCTGTTACCACTTCTCTTCAGCAAGGGTGGCAACAGTCTCACTTGCTCCCTTGAAGCAATACAAAGAGATTGACTATTTCTTCAAAGGCCCACTCAGACACCATTTTTGAGCCGGTAGTGGCAGTATTTTCTTCAGTGCGCTATCATGAACCTTGAAAAGGCTCAGTTGACAGAGGAATTGTGGCAGTGTTAACTGATGGTTGAGGTTCAGTACTGCATTCCAGTATTCCAAATCTGACCTGGAAGAATGGGAGGCGGGGAGCTCTGTCTGTGCTCAGACCTCAGCCCCCAACTCACAACACCCCTCCCATAACAACGAAGACTGGTCTTGCCTTTGGGAATCTGTGCCCTAGCACATAGAAAAATGGGAAATTCAGAAAATACTGTGAATTCCAAATGTGTGGCAGATAAAAGGATTTTTCAGCCCTAATATAACAAACCGAAGAATGCTTTAATAAAGTTCAAAGGAAGAGTTTTAGAAGTAATGGCATGAAGGTCAATGTATTATTTGAAATGGCTTTGTTTTTTTCTCAAGACAGGGTTTCTCTGTTGTAGCCTTGGCTGTCCTGGACTTGCTTTGTTTACCAGGCTGGCCTTGAATTCACAGAGATCTGCCTGCCTCTGCCTCCCTGAATGCTGGTATTGCAGGCTTGTGGCACTGGCCCAGCTGTCACTAACTAATCATAAAAGACAAAAAACCAAACAAAACAAAAAGGCCACCGCCAGCTCTCATTGTTGTGGAAATGAAAGAGGTCAAATCCTACTGTGCTGGGAGAGCTGTTTGCCTTGGATGGTACAATGGAAAGGAAAGCGGGCTGATAGGGTGGGGTGCGTCTTTGTCCTAGCGTCAACAACTCAGCAGAAGGAGGCTGGAAAACCTGAAGTTGGACCGGGGCTTTGCAGGAGGGTGAAGAATAATTCCCTCCCCAAAACAAAAACTCCAGTGCTACCTCTTTAACAAAAGCCAAACAAAATGGCTTAGGACGGTAACCACAGCCAAGGCTATTTTTAATTAAATTAAAAATATTTCATATTAGGAGCCTTGGGCATCTGTATGGTTGAGGAAATCTCATTGTTGTTAATTATAAATGACCTGCTTCATTTCACACATGCCAAAAAAAAAAAATCTAACAAAACAAACAAAAAGCAGGTATTGAATTTTTCAACTGTGTTTTATTCCCAGAGCTGTTGACCTGAGATTGAGTCCAAAGGATCTGTCATATCTCGTCTTTAACCAGCAGCTTGTCTGGGGAGGGGAAACAAAGGTACTATTCTGCCTTTGCTCCAAACTTAATCTTGCCCTTCTGGTCAGGTGGCCTTTCTCTTTCTCTGTGGAAAGGGAGTGTCCTGAGATCCTAGGCCATGTCAGCCAGTCCTTAGGATGGCTTAGGTTGAAGGCTAACAAACATCATTAGCAGTGAGTTCCTGCAGTCCTTCCTATAGCATGAAGTAGAAATGTGTTCTTACAGTACAGGACTCCCTAGCACAGGTCCTATGGGTTGGGTTGGTATTTCTCTCTGTCGCTCTCCTTGTTTTTTTTTTTTTTGTTTGTTTTTTGAGACAGGGTGTGTGTGTGTGTGTGTGTGTGTGTGTGTGTGTGTGTGTGTGTGTG